ATAACGGAGATTTTCTCCATAAAAAAGACTCAACAAGCTTGGCCTTAACACCTAAAATGGAACTTTCCTCTCTAAAAGAAGCTGAACAACTTTGGCTGCCAGTCCCCCCCGCCCTTGAGTAGATCGCAGTCTCACGGGAGTTGGACGTCCCTGTTCTAAGCCAGAAGCAGAAAGTCACAGAATTAATTGGCAGCATGGAGATGCCAGAAGCAAACCCAGTTGCCAGATTTATTATTACAGACTTTTTAAAGAATCCGGAGGAAACAAAGCCATTGCCTGACATCAACAAATACAGTTCAGAATCCTAATACATTGCAGCCACAGAAGCTAACATACCCAACTTCCTCAACCATTCCTCATAAGGCATGGTTTCCAGACCCTTTCATAGAATCATAGAGTTGTAAGAGACCACAAGGGCCATCGAGTCCAACCCCCTGCCAAGCAGGAAACACCATCAGAGCATATGGTTGTCAAGCCTCTGCTTAAAGACCTCCAAAGAAGGAGACTCCACCACACTCCTTGGCAGCAAATTCCACTGTCGAACAGCTCAGGAAGTTCTTCCTAATTATAATGGTATGGGGTTGCTCGTGCGTAAGTTGCCGCCTCTCCTGGCTATGTTGCCTTGCTAAACCTTTCTATCTGGACAGCCCTTCAATTCGTGGCTGCCTCAGTCGCTAGCAGAATCCGTCAGTGGGCGTTTCTTAAACCTTTTCCAACATAAAAGTTGTTTGACACCCAGTCTCCTTCTACTTTCTCTGCGCGGAAGTCTTCTGCGCAGGGAGGGCGTGGGTAGCGGAGGACCAGTGCTCTCCCGCTGGTGTCCGGTGAAGAGTCTGGGAGCCCTCTCACCGATTCCCCATCTGCCCCTCCTTATTCCTGGTGTTGCACTGAATTGCTTCCCCATCTGCTGAGCTGCCTCTCTCCCTGCTGGGCCCTTCTCCAGCATCATTAGAGAGCCTTCCCTCCACCTCTAGCTCCGATGTCAGTTCCCTGACATCCACCTCCCCCCCAGGACCCCCTCCACCACCGGCCCAACCTGTTGATCCAACTTCGTCCCTTTCTTCGACTGACGATGCGGGGAACCCCCGGAAGGAGCTGTCGTCATCCTCAGAGGATTCGAAGCCCGCTTCCCACCCGTTCTGATCCCTTCCCGCGGGGTGGGCCTCCCAGTCTGATTCTTCTTCCTCCGAAACCTCTCCTCCCTCCTCCGCGGAGGCAGGAAAACCCACAAAATCCTCTTCATCGTCTGTGGTTCCAAATTGCTCCTCCCAGAATCTCGCCAGTGGTTTGGGTTTGCCCGGGAACAGGCGGTGGAATTCCTCCACCAGATACCCGTCATCAATTGCCTCCACGGGAACCCACGTGTTTTCCGACCCGGGTTCTCCCTCCCGAGCTACCAAGTACTCCACCTGGCGTCCTCGCCACCTTGAATCAAGTATTTCCGTGGCCAAGTGGTGGTGCTCCCTCTCTTCTACCTGCGGGTGTGTGGTGACTTCTCCCTCTCGCCCCGGGAATTCCCGCCCCTCCCTGTACGGTGAGAGTAGGGACCTATGGAACACCGGGTGTATTTTCATGCTGTCAGGCAACTTGAGCTTGAATGCCACGGGGTTCACCTGCTGTGTTACCTCAAACGGTCCCAGCCGCCTGGGCTGCAACTTCTTGCACCCCCCCTTAAAGGGTAACCCTTGGGTTGACAACCACACTCTGTCCCCCACCCGTATGGTTTCCCCTTCCCTACGGTGCTTGTCTGCCTGCCTCTTGTAAATTTCCTTGGCCCGCTCCAAGTTCATCTTAAGTTGCTGGTGCAGGGCCTCCATTTCTTCCACAAACTGCTCTGCCGCAGGTACGCTCCAACTTTCCTCCCCACTCCCCGGAAAGGCCCTGGGGTGACACCCATAATTGGCCATGAACGGGCTCATTCCCGTGGACACATGTTCAGCGTTATTGTATGCAAATTCAGCCAGCGCTAGTTTCTCCACCCAATCGTTCTGCCTCTCGCTGACGTAACAGTGTAGGTATTGCTGGAGTATACTGTTCGCTCTTTCTGCTTGCCCGTTGGTTTCCGGGTGTCTCGCCGTTGAGAAGCCCACTTCGACCTGTAGCAAGCTCATGAGCTTCCTCCAGAACCAGGAAGTAAATTGTTTCCCGCGGTCGGAGATAACCCTCGAGGGAGCTCCATGCAACCTGAAGATGTGATCTACAAACAACCTGGCTGTTTCCTCTGCCGTAACCGCATGTGAGCAGGCTATAAAATGGCACATTTTTGTCAGTAAATCGACCACTACCATGACTGCTGTCTTTCCCCGGGACTTGGGCAGATCGGTCATAAAATCAATGGACACCACCTCCCAGGGTTTTCCCGGCGTGGGTAAGGGTTCCAGTAATCCTGCGGGGTCAGCCCGCTCCCCCCTTTGCCCTTTGGCAGCGGTCGCAACCCCGTACATATTCCCGTACATCCTCCCTCACCCTGGGCCACCAGAACTGCCTGGTGACAAGCATCATGGTTTTGTGCTGTCCAAAGTGTCCAGCTGTGGGATTGTCGTGCAGTTGTTTGAGTACCTTCCCCTGTAGGGTCTCCCCCGGTACATACAGCGCCCCCTTATAGTACAGCACCCCTTCCTTCTCCTCAAACCCTCCCTGGGTTTCTCTTCCATCTCGGATTTCCCGGATTTTAGTTTGTGCGAACACGTCATTTCTAGTGAGTCCGGCCAGTTCTCGTTTCCCCACCAAGATTCCCCCACACATCCACCAGTCCTCGGGGATCACGTGTCGTATCTCCGGTGGCCCTTCTCCTTCCCAGTACTCTGGCTTCCTGGAGAGCGCATCTGCTCTTGTGTTTTCCTCCCCAGGTACGTATCGGATTTCGAAGGAAAACTTGGAGAACTCCTGTGCCCATCGAATCTGTCTCTGGTTGAGTACTCGTGCGGTCCTCCAGTATTCCAAGTTCTTGTGATCTGTACAAACCTGGATCTTGTGCTGCGCCCTATTAGTAGATGGCGCCATCGACGAAACGCCGCATAGATCGCAAGCAGTTCACGGTCATACACAGTATAGTTTTGCTCCGATTTGCTCAGCTTTCGCGAGAAAAAGGCACACGGCTTCCATTCCTGCTTGCTCCTCCCTGGCTGCATAAGAACCGCCCCAATGGCTCTGTCGGACGCGTCGGTCTCTAGCCTCATGGGTTTCTCCAGATCCACGTGCAGGAGCTGCTCTTCCGATGCGAACGCCTTCTTCAGTCTTTCAAAGGACTGCTGGGCTCCCTCTGTCCAGACGAACTTCCTTTTGCTACTGAGACAATCTGTGATGGGCGCTGTCAAGTGGGCGAAGTTCTTGATGAACTTCCTGTAGAAGTTGCTGAACCCTAGGAACCTCTGCACGTCCTTCCGGGTTTTGGGAGCCTTCCACTCCAGCACTGCCTGCACCTTGCTTGGGTCCATCGCTAGGCCCTTGTCTGACAACCAGTACCCCAGAAATTCGACTTCTCTGGCGTGAAACTGACATTTTTCCAGTTTGACCCACAACTGGTGCTTCTGCAGTCGTTTCAGCGCTTCCCTGACATGTTGCTCCTCATTGTCCGAATAGATTAATACGTCGTCCAATAAGGCTACCAGTTCTTGTACAGCAGGGACCCCAGCACGTGGTGCATGAATGCTTGAAAACAGGGGGAGCCCAACTGTAATCCAAAAGGCATAGCTAGGTACTCAAAGGCCCCTAGGGGTGTGAACATTGTGGTCTTCCATTCGTCCCCTTCCCTCATCCTAATCAAATTGTATGCTCCCCTGAGGTCCAGCTTGGTAAAAATTTTCCCTTGCCTCACCTGTGTTAAAATGTCGTCAATCCTGGGCATCGGGAAGGTCACGGGTTCCGACACCAAATTGATGGCCCTATAGTCCACAACGAGCCTGGGCTTATTTGTGTCCTTTTTGTCCACAAAGAACACTGGACTGCCCTCCACCGCTTTCGATTCTCTTATGAAGCCTCTTTTCAGGTTCTT